TAAGTTACATATAATAGTGTAGTTCTGATCTGGAGAGCCTAAAGTCAAGTAAATTGTAAATAGAAAGTTCTCGAAATGTCAATGGGACTATATGCATAATACACCACAGACAAAAAACAATTCCAGAATTTTCAGATAGAACAAATAGAATGATTCGAACATTATTTATTGCTAGATTACTCTAGAAACAATGAAAAACATATAAAAAGCCATGTAATTTGGAGGAGCAGTTAGTTAGAGTTCAGTTCAGTTAGAGTTCAGTTATCAATAAGTCAGTTATCAGTTATCAGTTAGTTAGTTTGTTACAGATTAATCAGTTAGAGAGACCAGTTCAGTTAGAGTTTAGTCAGTCAGTCAGTTCAGTGAAAGAAGGTACCAAATTTTGTTAATAATTTAATAATTGTAAGAATTTCAAATTTTAGATAGATTGTTTTAAATTGATATTGCTTATATTAGATAGATAGGTTTGTTTCATAATAGTTCTAATAAAGATAATTTAAAAAAGTACTTACAAACTAATTCTTTGAGAACCGCGATAAAAACCCTATACTTACATATATCATTCAAATTTACTCATAGCTCATACAACAACAACACATCATAACTATATATATATATGTATATATATGTATATATATATATATATATATATATATATATATATATATATATATATATATATATATATATATATCCCCTCTATATATAGACGAGAAAGTTTTGGTTGAGTTTACCGAAAGTACAAGCTGAATATAGCCGCAAATGTCACAAATATTTGAGTTTGGCAGTGTTGCCATGTTTTTATAATGCATATGTTGAATGATTCAAATATAAAGAGATAATAAAGTTTTTAAAAAGTATATTTTGATTATACTATTTGTACTAACAATTTTTATTATATATTAAGTAATAACGAGTAGATATTTGTCTCTTTCGAGATTAATTACAAACATCTTTTGTAATCTGGCAAATGGTGATTGCCAAATTGATGATTGCCAAATCTATCCCCTAATCTATCAAAGGGTAACTGCTAAAAAAAATTTCTAATAATTAACTGCAATTAATCTCCAAAGAAACAAATACTTACTCATTGTTGTTTTATATAAATCAAAAATTGCAGAATTCATAACACAATATAAACAAAATGTACTTTTCTAAAGCTTTATTTTTTATATTTGAAGTATAGAACATCTATAATTCTAAAAAACATGTCAACACTGCAATACCGAAATTTGTTGTTCCGTGTTTGACATTTGCGACTATAATCAGCTTGTACTTTCGGTAAACTCAACCAATGTGGCCTCTAGAGATCGCACTTCCTGTCTAATAATATTTTTGCCCCCACTACCTTTCTTCTTCTTCTTCTTAGTCGTTAACCTGATGCAGGTATCGTGATATCATGAAGCTATTAGCTAATTTTTCCAATGTTTCTCCACGTTTTTCTATCTTCTGCCATTCTAGCACATTCTGACAATGGAGCGCCAATGGTAGCAACAATATGGTCCGTGTATCGTGTGGGAGATCTACCTCTATTTCTTTTGCCTTCTACTTTTCCCTGGATGGTAAGTTTTTCAAGACCATTTCTTCGAAGCACATATCCAAAATAGCTTATTATTTGTTCTGATATTTGTGTTCTTAGTATTTTCTTTAAGTTTGGCTGGTCCAGTATGGATTCATTTGTTCTTCGGGCCACCCATTGTATTCTCAGCATTCGTCTCCAGCAGTACATCTCAAATACATCTATGTTCTTTTTGTCTTTCTCAGTAAGGGTCCAGCATTCCGATGCATAAGTAAAAACTGAAAAAACTAGACTTCTTACTAGTCTCATTTTTGTATCGGTAGTTATTCTCATGGCTTTTCCAAATTTTTGTTAATTTTGCCATAGCGCTTTTTGCAATTGCTGACCGCCGCTTTATTTCTTCAGTACAGCCTCCTTTGTTGGTTATTAATGAGCCCAGATACACAAATTTATCTACAACAGCGATATTGTTTATCATGACCAGATGATTTTGTTTGTTGTTAGCTCTGTCAATTATCATGATTCTCGTTTTATCTCTGTTTATTTTAAGGCCCATCGTTAAGCTTAAGTCTTCTATCCGTTGTAGCAGGTGAATCAATTCAGCTTCAGAACTAGCGAGGATAGTAGTATCATCTGCATATCTTAAGTTGCAAATCTTCTTCCCGCCAATGGTGATGCCACTGTTCCAGTCCTCAGTAGCTTTCCGCATTATCCATTCACCATAGATGTTAAATAGAATCGAGCTTAATATATAGCCTTGTCTCACGCCCTTTGTGACCCTGAAACTATCGGTTAGTTCTCCCATTTATGCTAACTCTGGCATAATTGTTATTGTACAGTCTTTTAATTAGCTGTATCAGATGATTAGAGACTCCCATTTCAGACAAAACCGGCCACATTTTACTCCAGTTGACCAAATCGAAAGCTTTACGATTTATGAAGCACAAGTATGTTGTGATGTTGAATTCTCTGGATTTTTCTACAATCTGCCGTACGTTTAAAATTTGTTCTCTAGTACCACGTCCGGGGACGAAACCTGCTTGTTCCTCCGCAATGTTAGGTAGTAAAAAGGGCTTTATCCTCTCGAGAATTATGTGTAAGAGTATCTTACTGCAATGCGCAATTAGAGCAATTGTGCGATAGTTGCTACATAAATCTTTCGCTCCCTTTTTATGTATGGGAATATATAGTGATTGTGTCCAGTCCTCAGGCCATTTACCTGTCTCTCACACTCTTTGACAAATTTGATGTATTATATCCACTCCAACGTCATCTAGGGCCCAAATCATTTCAATAGGTATGTTATCTGGACCGGCAGCTTTCTGACTTTTTTGCCTCATAATTGCTGCTTCAACTTCATTTTTGAGTACGTCAGGTTCCGTCGCAAAACTGGCATCTTCTTGTTGTGATGGGCGTCTGTGCTTTCCTCCATCATCAGTCGTAGACAGTATTCTTTCCATCTGTGTAAAATATCTTTTTTAGAAGTGAGTAGAGTTCCGTTATCATCTTTGATAGCAAGGTAGTTTGGTGTAAAGGAACGTGTTATCTGCTTTATTTTTTTAAACATGTCTCTGGTCTCAGTTTTGGTTTTATGCCCTTCTATTTCCATGCAGATTTTGTTCAAGTGTGTGTTCTTGTTTGAGGTCACATAGCTTTTGCATTGCGGCTTTTTTGTACGGATCGTTATATCTTAGATAGTTGTTGTATTTCCTGTTTTTGGACTGTTTCTTAACTTCATGCGGAATTCAGCTGATAAAAATTGATGGCCGCTATTAAAATCTTTTCCTGGATAGGTCTTAACATCCTTAACAGCGCTCCTCCAACGGGTTTTTACCAGTATAAAATCTATCTGATTTCTGTATCTATTTCCTGGTGATATCCAAGTGTATAGTCGTCTTGGGTGATGTTGAAAGCCTGTATTAGTAACAAACGGTTGTTGTCTATACAAAAGTCTAGCAAGCGTTCTCCTCTGTCATTTCTTTGGCCAAGTCCATATAATCCGACGGTCTCTCGCAAATAATGATCTTCTGTAGTTTACACCAATTTTAGCGTTTGAAATCGCCTACGACTGCTGTGATTTCTCTATTTGGAAGCTTCCTAAGCGTCTGCTCCAACGTACTATAAAATATTTCGATTTCTTCATCGTGAGCTTCGCTTGTTGGGGCATATGTTTGTACTACATTAAGATTAACTGGCCTGGCATTCATTCTGAGAACAATAATCCGATCGCTAATGGTTATGTATTCTTTTACGGAGGTTTTAATGGTATTATTTACTATCACTGCCACGCCATTCCGAGATTCGTTATCATTGCCGGAGAAATAAATATCATTGCCATTTTTTGACGTAAAGTGTCCTTTATCCTTTCAGTGGGTTTCAGATAGACCTACAATGGCATAATTGTGTATCTTGTTTTCCACTACATCCAATTTTCCGGGTTTTCACGTACCAATTTTAAGGGTGCTCCATATTTTTATGTTTATTCCAGACTCAGAGTTTCCATGGCGTGTCTGGTTTCTCACAACATCATGGCCGGTAGCCCATTTCACACCATCAGCCCCAGACACTGATTGGCGCCAATTGTTAGTTGGATCGCTCGGCATACTGTTGTTTAGCAAAGTAACGCAGTGGGGCCCCACTTCCTTCTGCGTGGTAGAAAATAGTTTAGAGTAAGGAAAGAAAATAGTGACCCGTCCACCCTCGGAAACCTAATAGCCAATCGGGGTCGGAAAAACAAGGGTTGGCCAAGAGAGGCCGATAGGAAAGATAAAAGACATTTTACTCAAGACTAGTTGAAGAAGAGTAAAATGTGAAGGTTCTCATGCAGCGCCCGATGCGTTTTATGAGAGTATGAGTATTAGTACACCTTGTGTTCCCGCCCATATATCGGGGTAATGACTACAGGCAGTATAGCTCGTCCAGCATGCTATAGCGAGAAGAAGAGAGTGTACACCATCTCATAATGTAGAAACTAATACACACCAGCTCCATGGACTGACTTTACCACTACCTTTACATTCCCTCTTTTGTCTTTTTGCTCGATGTTCCTTGTTTAATGTGGCCTCTCAAGATGGCACTTCCTGTCTAACAATATTTTGCCCCCACTACCCTTACATTCCCTCTTGTGTCTTTTTGCTCGATGGATATGACATAGACATAGCCAAAAAAAGGTAAGAGGAAGTCACAGATTTCTACTAAATAATCTGGAGGTCGAACTCACTATGTTCGGCGTTCGGCCATAGTAGTCCATTATATCGCGTATCCAAATTCGCTGGCGAATGCACCATGCAAGCCAATAGAAAAGAAGAAGAAGTCGTTGTTCTAAAGCAATTGTCATGACATGACGTTTGGTGCTGTGAGGCGTGAGAGCTGATTGCACAGCTGATTGTGATGAATAAAACATAAACAATTGACAAATACTTTTGTTTTTTTTTAATTATTATAAATATATTTCTGGAATACCAATTACCAATCAAATTAAATGGAAGTAAAACAGGAAGTTATGGAAGAGACGTGTAAAATAGAAATAGTTGATAACGAGGTTCATAATGCTCTTCTAGGTACCTTTAAAACTGAGATTAAGGAAGAACCACATACAGAAAGTGCACATACTGCTTTCGATTATTTAAATTGTAAGAAAGATCCTTTAAAGACAGAAATAGAATACGATGAAGATAAACTGTGTCTCCTTAAAGTAAAACAACAACATGAAAGTAAGTAATTTATCTTTAACGACATGCCTATCAAATTGTAACATAAGTACACACCTAGCGCGTACTTACCAAAGAGAGTATACATAAATAGGTACATCGAATAATCTAAATTTTGGGGAAAAATTACTTAAGTAATATTTGGGTACTAGAGTAGGGGGAACAATGTCTGCAGTGGTGAAATTTATATAAATGAATTCCCTTTAGGGTTCCCACTTAGGTACTGTTTAATGTACAATGCTTTTTATTGGGTGCTCAATGTTGATTTTTACATTTTTTCAGTTTAAAATAAGTTTTAAAAATATTCTGAAACTGTTTTTTGTGGCATGTCTAAGTTAAATATTCTATGTTTGTATGGGATTTAGCCACAATTGATTTTAATGAAATTACATTTTTAACTAATGTTTGACGTTTTGATTTCCCCTCTTCTTCTTCTTCTTCAAGTTTCCACTCTTATCGGAGATTGGAAATCATTCTGGCAATTATAATTTTATTGGTTACTCGCCTGAATAGTTCAATTGAACTGCATCCAAACCACTCACGGAGATTGCGTAGCCACGAGATTTTACGTCTTCCTACGCTTCTTCTACCTTTGATTTTACCCTGCATTATATTCCTTAGTAGTTCGTACTTTTCACCTCTCATGATGTGCCCCAAGTATTCCAATTTCCTGATTTCCCCTCTGGAAATCCAAAAATCTGGCAAATTGTATGACCAAAAGTTGTTAATAGGTTTTGGTTGAAAAATCTAAACTTGATGTTTTCACCCTCTGAATATCAAATTCTGGCTGTTTTGTTTTTTTTGTTGTGTTATTTGTTTGTGTAATGTGTGTTTATGTAGATTATATGTTTGTGTATTGCATTACATATTGTATGCATTGTGTTTTATATGTATTCTCTATAAATTGTAGATGATGTGTCTGTAAAAAAATAAAGAGGACTAAATGAACATACTGGCAGAACCTACATGATGCACTGGACAGTGATATATGGGGTGAAGCCTACCTTTGTGTAGAAAAAAGAAAATAAATTGCAAGGACACTTTTTCTTAATGAGTCTGAATGCCAATTTCTACCATACAATATAGATAATAGATTGTCAGACAAGTTCACCTTAGAGGAAATTTGATTAGCTTCTGAAAACATAAGAGATCACCTGTCCTAGATGGAGTCACCAGAAGCCATACAGATTATAGTACAGGAAAATCCTGAAGCCACCAGAAAGGTTTTGAATGAGCTCCTACACAACTAAGAATTCCCAGATCAACTGAAGATTGCAAATTAGTCTTAATCTTAAAACTTAAGAAACTACTGGATTGGGCTAGTTCATATGGGCATATATGTTTATTAGATTGTATTGAGAAATTTTATGAATGCTTCATAAAATATTGTTTTGAACTTCTTCTTCTTCGCGGCCATATCAGAACTATCCGACGTTGGCGATCACCATTGTGAAGGCTTCTCGATCTTCTGCAATATGGAATAATTGTCCTGCATTTGGTATCTGAGTCCATTCACAAATGTTTTTTAACCAAGAAACTTGTTTTCTTCCTACACCTCTACGGCCTCTATTTTGCCTTTAAGGATCAGTTATAAAATTTATATCGACTTCCCCTTACTATATGTCCCAGATAAGACATTTTTCGATGTTTAACAGTCTTTAGCAGTTCTCTGTCTTTGTTGACGCTCCTTAGTACTTCTTCCTTAGTTTTTCTTGCTGTCCAATCTTCAGCATTCGTCTATGAACCCACATTTCCAATGCTTCAATTTTGTTCATGATCGATACTTTTAGCGTCCACACTTCTGCACTATACAAAAGTACAGACCAAACACTTAACCATTCTTTGCCTTCGTTCTAAACTGAGATGGTTATTGCAAAGAAATGACTTCATTTTCATAAACATAGTTTTAAGTCATTGCTATTCTACGTTTTATTTCTATGTCTGGATCTAGTTGGTCCATTATCACAGTTCCCAAATATGTCATTTTGTGAACTTTCTCAACTTGGACTCCGTTCAATTGAAGCTTTGCATCGGGATGTGGGTCACAATTAAACACTAAAAATTTGATTTTGTTTGAGTTTATTTTAATGCCCATTTCCTCTCCTACCTCGTGAATACGATCAAGCTGAATTTGAAGACCTTCAATATTATCTGATCGTCTGCATATCTAATCACATTAAGTAATTCCCCGTTGATTTTTATTTCATATGGTTGTCTCTCAAGTGCCTTTTTAAATAGCTAGTCCGAGTAAACATTGAACAATGTTGGCGACAAAATGCAACCTTGTCTGACTCCTCATTGTATGGGGATATCATCGGTGTAGTTATCTCCAATTTTTATGATAGCAGTTTGATTCCATTACAAATTTTTAATGACACGAATATCCTTGTCATCTATTCCGATATTTTTTAGTATTTGCATTAATTTTACATGCTGTACTTTAGCGAATGCCTTTTTGAAGTCCACGAAACATGCAAATACATCTTTTCTTTGGTCACAGCATTTTTGTAATAGGATATTTAGCGCAAAAAGTGCCTCCCTGGTATCTTCAAGATCTTCTTCGCATTTGCGTCTAATTCTGTTGTGAAGTATTCTGAGGAAAATTTTAAGAGTGTGGCTCATTAGGCTAATTAATCGATATTCTGAGCATTTTCTCGCATTGTGTTTTTTAGGTATTGCGATAAAGATGGATTTGAGCCAATCTGCGGGATCACTCCGGTGTTATATATTGAATTAAAAAATCTTACTACTACTTTTATGTTATCATTCTCTATTAGTTTCAGCAACTCAGTTGGTGTATCATCTGGACCACAAGCTTTTCATAATTTTCTGGGCCGTCAGTACAGTTTTGGTAGAATTCGACAATATTTTTACAATCATTTCGTTATTAGTGTCAACAAGTACAGAGGGAACTCGTTTTTTAAATATATTACTCATTTCCTTCAATTTTTTGTGCACATTAAATAAGTCATGTTTAGATATTACATCCTCCATTTCGTCGCACCTTTCTCTCATTCATTTTTCTTTGGCTGATTTGATCTCCTTTTTTTATTCTTCTCTGCAGGTGTCTATATTCTGTTACATTAGATTTTATCGGTCGACGTTGTTCCCTTAATTTTAAGATGTCGTCTGTCATCCAGTTATTTTTCTTGATTAAGTTTTTTCTATAATCATTGTTTGTGGAGATTTCGTTAACTTGGTTTTTAAATTCACTCCATAGTTCTTCTGGATCTTCTAGTTGTTCTCCGATGTTTTTATTCTATTGTTAAATTCTTTTTTAATGTTATGTTTTATGTTTATATCGTCAAAGTTAAGTACATTGGTTTTTGGTTTTTGTTGCTGAATTTGTTTTAACCTTAGTTTAATATCTGCTACGAGTGGTTGATGATCAGATCCAATATCTGCCCCAGGATATTTAGTGACTTTTTTGACAGCATTCAGAAACGCTCATTTACAAGTACATAGTCTATTTGATGTCTTGAAGACTCGGGGTTATTGCCATCATCAACTGGGGCTTTCCAAGTGTATAGTCGTCACTGGGTATTTTATACCAGGTGTTTGCAATGATCATATCGTTTTCTTTACAGAATTCATACAATCTCTGTCCTCGATCGTTAAGTTGCCCTAAACCATAAGGACCTACAGTCTGACCTCGTCGATCTTCCCCAATTTTTGCATTGAAGTCGTCTATAATATATAAAATTTCGTGTTTATTAAGTTTCTGTAAGATGTCTTGGATCTGATCATACAACTTTTCGACTTCATCGTCATATTTTCTATTTGCAGTTTTGCAGATTTGAAGTATGTTAGTTTTAAATGGTTGAGTATTTATTTGGAGTAATATTATTCTATCCGAGACTGGTAAGAAATTGGTCACATATTTACTCAGTTCTGATGTTACTAATATACCTACACCATCTTTGTGATACGGGTCTTCTGTGCTGTTACCGGAATAATATAATACTTGTTTTGAACACAAACTCTTAAATACAAGAATAATTTCTGATCAGCTATAGAAATCAGGCGAAATCAGTGAAATGCATACTTGAAACAGTCAAAAAAAAACAAGAAATAAATGGGCAATCCTTGTTATGTTCTATGTAAAGAATGCCTTCAATTCTGTCAACTGGGATACATCATAGGAAACTGGAAACTGCTGGAGTGTCAGATTATTTAATAGATAGATCTAAAAATTAAACTTACTGACAGACATATTAAAGTGACAGGTAAAGAAAAAACAAAACTGTCTTTTGGGATTACACAGGGATCTGTATTAGGTCCAATGTTGTAGAATGTAGAGTATAATGGAGTGTTAGAAATATATTACTGCAGAGATGTGTCAGCAATTGCATATGCAGACTTAATAATACTAATAGAAGGTGACATAAATGTGGGTGTAATAAATAAGTTATATATGCTGAAGAAAAGTTATTAGGTGGATTACAACTAACAGCTTAGAGTTGGTGTCTAATAAAACAGATAATTATACTAAAAGGACCCAGAGTGGTAGCCAACCTGATTTTTCATTTTACGTGTACAAAGATAGTACCAACCAACTGTGCTAAATACTTTTAATACTGTTTATTCATGTTAAAAATCTAAAATCTTACACACTTCAAATATGTACAAAAAATCAAATAAAATTAAAATTATGTTGTACATATTCATGAATTGTATAAAAGGAATTTTTTTAATTTTTATTTTCAAATACCTTTTCAGGCAAGTTTCTTATATTCTCAGGCAGAACATTAAAACATTTTGTTGCCCAATACCCTGGTCCATTTTGACACCTTCTCAAATGTCAATATGCTGGTATCATATTCTGCTTGTGCTTATATCTTAACTTTATTGATCTTCATGACTTCTATAAAGATTGATATTTCTCTTCATGAATCATAGGTTTTCTAGAATGAAATATATGTTCCGGTACAGTAAGAATTCCCAATGTTTCATATGCCTGATGAGCCTCCAGTCTCCACTGAGACACATTTTGAAAGGTTCCTCAAAATAA